AGTCTTGAAGTTGAATGTAACTCTGATGTCAAGTCTTGATTTGCATTTAATATGCTAAACCCAATTTAAATGATACATAGATATCCTGGAGAGCCAATTTGATGTACAAATTGGAGATGAGTTCCATTCATTATTATTTTTTTGCATGAAAGCTGACTGGATGACTTCAGGTCAATCACATTCAAGCCACTACACCTGATTGTGTGTGGAAAATAAGAATATTATGTATGCATGTATTCTTGGGTTGGCCAAAAATGGAATTAAAAATAAACATGCAGGATATAGCAACAGTATAATTCAGCCATAAAAATCTTGATTTCTTACTGGTCAGTTGTAATAATACACTTTTTATCTCTCTACAGGAGAATGGTGTATTTGAAAAGAGGAGTCCGGAAGGCAGTAGCACTTTCTTGAAATCTTCAATAAACTATTCAGAAACATAATAATTAGTGTCAGTTCTTGAAAAAGAGCTCAATTTACAATTGGTGCTCATTTGAAATATCGAAAGGAAGGTGGGAGCAGCCTGATGTGCTCAATATATCCCAACTTCATGTCCTAAAAATGGCTCCTTTATAAGTTACACTCTTTAGTAAGTTGTTCTGGAATCATGCTGAAAAGCTGCATTGATTTTTTGAATATTTAATCCCTAGTGGCTTTTGTTATTTTTGCAGTATTTTGTAACCCTCCATTTTTGAAATATCATATTTCTAGCATTCAGCTGTGCCCTTTCTCAATATTCTGTAATTTATTATCTCATTTGAGGACTGGAACCAATTTCAAATATAGCTTCCCTGGTGGTAGAACAGCAATATAGAAATAGACCATTTGAGCCACGCTGATTTGGGAGTGAACCAGATTGGATCCAAACTTGCTGGAAGGTTTCAAAACATCCTGAATTCAGTTATTAGTTTACATTCATACAGGTTTGTTTGAAAACTGCTAGATATGTGCTTGATGCAATCAGAAATATATGACTTGATTAATTTGGAAAAGAAAGCTCAGTTTCTTTGCCAAATAATCAGGATTCAATTTCACAGGGCTTCCCTTTAAAAAACACCATGAATTTTTTTTTACTTGGGTCAGGGATAGACCAACTGGCTCATTCTTGTCCTGATGGTGAATTATTTAAAATTTGATTCCTTACCTTAAAATCTTCCTGCCGCCAGTATCTTCCAAACATCACATATTTCTTTGTAATTTGGTCTAGTGGTTATGGCAGAAGGCTAGAAACCACGACTAGGAGTCCTAGTGCTATCTTAGATAAGAAAGATGGGTGACTTCAGGCAAGACAGTCACTTCAACTCTAACTCAGGGGTGTCAAAACCCGATTGAGGGCTGCGTTAAGGTGTTTGACCTCGGGGCTGGGGTGGGTGTGGCTAGTGGGCGTGGCCAACTCAACGTCACTCAGGTTGGGGGTGCCTGTGGTGGCCCACAGTGCTCTGCCAGCAAAAACAGGCTCCCGGGTGCCGCCCCTGGCCCTCGCAAACTCCATTTTCAGCTGTGATGGCCTGCAACCCTCTGCCAGCGAAATGGAGCTTGGGAGGGCTGCATACAGCCCTCCTGAACTCCGTTTTTGCTGGCAGAGACACCGTGGACCGGTTCTTCTGTTTCCAGGGTGGCCCCGCATGCCAGATCTAAGCACCCTGCAGGCCGGATCAGGTCCCCTGGGCCTTGAGTTTGACACCCCTGGTTTAACCCATCTGTTGGGGGAAAATATGAAGAGTATTGAGTTATGTTTAGGGTTACAAAAATAAAGATGGGACATGATGAAATTAAGTTAAGTAAAAGTACACTTGTTCAGAAAGCCAGACAAGAAGGTTAACCCCTATTCAGTTACTGATAAATAATGCATGCAGGTCAGGCTTGAATTTTTTATGTGTAGGCTTAGACATTGAAAGCTAAGAGGAGGCAGCTGGAGGAATTCATAAGAGGACAAACTATTACTCTATCCAATTGCAATGAAGACAGAGCATGGTACTCATCTAGCTTTGGGCGCCCCTAGGAGAACCTCCATTAATCCATGTCCACCTTCATGCTTCTTGCATTATTACCAGCCATGCTTTTCAGATTCATTGGAAAGGCACAGTAGATTTCCTCAGGTAAGTTTGCTTTTCGTTGGTATCCTTAGTAGTTTACAATAGGTGAATAAGCTGTACAAGTGACAGGCACTGGATAAATTGCACCCTGGCTTGCAAAATTTGTCTCTATAGTAAACATTACAAGATAACTAATATAAACAAAATGCAGAAAAGGAGAGCAAAAGAAAAAATAGTAAAGCAAAAAATGATTCAAAGAAACAACTTGCAAGTACAAACAATTTCAGTAATTTTGTCACCTCTTAACACCAAATGTTTTTAGCCACAAAACGATCTTCAAAGCCTCATTTGGTCTTGGTTTGCAAAAATCCAATTAGGTTTATTGAGACATCTAACTTTTAGCAACTTTATGTTCCTTTTATTTTTAATACTTTAACCTGTTCAAATACTGTTCTAGAACATTTCTCCCCCCCCCCTTAAAATCCTTCAAACTTAACTCTTGTAAATTCAATATAGGAAAGTGATCCAGATCACTGAATTTTGATATCCAATAGAGGTGTGGTGCATCCTAACAGTTGTCGAAAACAACTCTATATATTAGGTATATAATGCTGATGTTTGGCAGAAAATCAGCCAAGGGCAAAAAGCATTTGCAGTGTTTTTCATCTTATGATGAATCACTTTCCAGAGTTTGAACTTTGTGACTTACCACCTGATTCTAAACAACTCACCTGATTGCTAGCATTCCCATTGTTTTAAAAGTTTTATTTTGGCAATCAACACTCCTCAAAAATTTGATTTTGTCTTCCATGGATATTCCCATCATTTCATATTGCAATTATAACAGGAAACATGGTTTTGGAAACTGAGCGAACTTGGGGTGGGAACTTTCAGAAAAGAGAAGATTCCAAGTAAGGAACACATAAGGAAAATATATGGATTCTCTTCAGGAAAATATTGGAGGGAGACAAACTTAGGCTTAGCCTCTTTTTTTTAAATTTCTCCCATACTTTTGAGTTATTATCCTATGCACTGAATTATTACACCAGATATTAGCAGGCCTAAGGGTCCTCATAAGTTTTATTTTTAATACATTTTCGAACTAGATCAGGTACCCGAATTCCAAAGACCAGGATAAGCATAAGCTACCTTCTCTCAAGCTTCCTGGGGCAGGAATTCAAATAAGAGATGGTTGCTGGAATTGCCCTTCTTCCAATGTGAACTTGGACAACAGCTTGAAGAAAAAGCGTACCTACTTTCATTTTTCTAAACCCATCCGCCTTACTCCAAAGCCAGTTCCTCCTTGCAAAGCCAGCCGTGATGTCCTACAGCATGACCGTAGACAATTGGCTCACCACACCGCGCACGATTTCCTTGTCAGTGGGTTGAACGGCAGACTACCTTGGCAGAGAGACCTGCCATTGCTACCCCAGATGAGAAGGCCAAAGCTGGAGCTTCATGTTTATCTTCCCAGCGAGAAAGATGGTGAAGGTGTTTGGGAAGAGATGGAGCACAGACTGAGTGGTTTAAGCTTGCAAAATTCCACCCTGAAGTAAATCTAAAGTTGTTAGGACTCATGCTTTGTAACCCAAAGCCAAATGAACTGCCTGATGCTAATACTGGTCTCTACAAGACACACATCTATCAAAGAAAATATTCAACTCGAGATTAAACTGGGGGCTTTGGTGTTCTCTCAGCTTGGTGGTTTTCTTGCAGATGTTTCATTTCTCAAGTAGGCAACTTCGAAGATCCCACATGTCTATCTGATTATTTCGTGAAAACAATGTTATGCAGTGGGGAGAGAAAAGGTTAAAAAAAAATACAAGCAAGCTGCAGCTAAGAAAACAGCGGTATTTCATTTGCATTATTTACTGTTCCTTCTACATCTTTGCAAATCGTCCTTGCTTCACATTTCATACACTCACTCCATTTCCTACATAGGAACAAAAACCGCACGTATAAGAAATGTTCTTGCTCTGTAAGCAAGACTTCTATTTTTCTTTTCTACAGTGCTTAAATGTTGCTTTTTAATTGCTTTTGGTAATTACGAATTGACCACTTAAGTTGTATGCAACATAATTTCCCCTCACTGTGATACCTGCCTGCTGAGTTTTCTCAATTTGAAGACACCCAGCCCCATGAAATGTTGCAAGAAAACAAGCTCAGAGAGCCTAACAAGATAACAAAACTTCCTTTTCTTCACAATGTCTGATGGAGCCACTGTTCTAATCTCTCCACTTTCCTGTGTCCTTCCTTTTTTCACATCGTTCTTAACCTTGAGTTTCATGGCATTCTCTCTATGTACTTTGCTTTTTCTTCACCTCTCCTTTATGGGTGTGTTGGTTTTCTGACAAAGGAGATTTATTCATTGTATTTGACCACTCTGGATGCTTTGCAATTAAAAAAAAGGAAAGATCTACCCCCACACAAAAAAACAACAACCCAAAAGTAACACCAAACCGAATCTTAAAAAGAGGCTTTTCCACCTCTGCCCTGAGAAAGGCTCCAACCCTGTCGCTTCCTGAAACGTTATGCAATGTATTTTGGGGGGTCACTTTTTCTAGGAACCCCCGTCGACCTGGCAGATTTATTTCTCCAGCATGATCTCTTCCCCAGATCAGATTTGCCCCAACCCTGCTAGCCTTTCCAGCATTAAAACCCCGGCTTTGCCGTTCAGCCTATGATCCTGAAGCGCACCAGCCCCGATCTCTCTTTCGGAGCCTGGCCGTCACCCTGCAGCTCTGCACATGCCCAGGAGCCCTCTCTTCCGTCCCATTTTAAGCCACCCAGGGTTGCCCCTTTTGGCTTCAGCACTGAAACCCAGCACCGGGGGGGGGGGGGATGGGAGGGGGAAGCGGGCGCATTACGCACGGATGCTTGGCTGGCAAAGGGCAGGCGGGGCAAGCGGGAGGCGCCTGCCTTGCTTCGTCCGGGGGGCTCCTTTCTCTCCGCCCCCGGTTCCACCTCCTCCGGCTGGCCGCCAACGGGCGGGAAAGGCGGGAGAAACAGCCGAAGGCGACGATGGCGCTGCTCTTCTCCGCCCTCCGCGTGCTGCTGGGCCTTTTCTTCGCCATCAGCGGGGTCGTCAAGCTCACCGACCGGGTCGCAGGCGACGCCCACCGGCAGCTGGTGAGCGGGGCGCCTCCGAGGCGGGAAGGGGACCCAGTCCGGGCCACCGCTTGGCGATGCAACCCGCAAGTGGGGGGGGGGGGCCTGCAACCCTCCGCACCCCCAGCCTCCCAACTCAGCCTGGCCAAATCCCCCTCGCCGAGCGGATCTTCAGGAGAGCCTCCAAGTCTGAGGAAAGGCCCGTCATGGCTTCCGTGCCATCTTTAGGGGAGCTACGCAGGGCGCGTCGGCAACTGCTCGGCGAGCCCATTTCTTGCAATTATTTCGGGCGGTGGGGGGGGCCTCGTCCTCGCTTCTCGGTCCTTAACCTGCGACTAAAATCCCGATAACCGACAGAGCTTTGGCCTCACCTGTCCAGTGATGTCGCGCGCGCTTGGAAAGGAAAAGGGGTCGCCGCTTTCCGCCTCCTGCACGCCAAGGGCTTGTTTGCTTTCTTTGGGAGGAGGCAGGGGATCTCTTTTCTTTCTTTGCCCCTGGGATTTCTTTGGCACAACTTTTATCTTTTCCCCTCCTCTGGGCTTTTTTAAAAAAATTAAGAACACAAAAGCCATCTCTCCCCCCCCACACACACACACATACTCACACTCAATCTCCCCCTCTCTCTCCCTCCCCCCCTCTCTCTCACACACACACACCCCAAAGAGGGAGAGACAGAAACTGAGGTACACACTCCCCCCCCCAAGCTTATCTCTCTCTCCCTTCTTTCAGTTGGATTTTTAAAATGGGATTTGGGTCTTAAGACATTTGCCCGGGGTATCTCAATTGGAGGTGGGGATGTTTTAAAGCTGGCTACAGTATGATCGTATTTAATGGGGTTTTGTTCTGTCCCCCCACCCCACCCTCACCCCCAGGTGTTCTGGCCATCTAATTTATTGGAGACTTTCTGCCCTGCCTCAGTTGATGAAATTAGTTGAAGAGTTGAAGAGCCTCTGAGCTCACAGGACTGCCCTCTTTGTAAACAGCCTGGGTTTGTACTCCAAATTAAATCTGGGAGTTTCTCTGGCCTTTGGCCAGCTTTCCATTTGTAGGAGCATTTTTGGCGCCTAAGGCTGATGTTTGAATTTTGGTTGTTGGGGGCGGGAGAGAGCACATTGCAAGATTTTTGGGGGGAAACAGATAGCTGCCTGGATCCAAACTGGATCGTTCACCGGATCCAGAGGTTTACTTGTCCGAGTTTTTAGACTTGTGCTGGAGGGAACTTTTCTCTAGCGGAATGTGTGCATTGAGACAAGAGAGCTGCCTGTTTGTTTGTTTTTTCCACTGGTGAAAATTACTTTGTAAATTAAAAGAAAAAAGAAAAGAAAAATGGGCTGGGAGGAAGAGAGAACATTCTTTGAGTTCAGATGAGCCACAAAATTTTAGAGAAACAAGATTTTTAAACCCACTTGCAGATCGGTTGGGATTGTTAACCATTAAGAAATAATTAAGACCTTACCAGGATGCAGAATAACAGGTGGAAAAGATACAGCTGAAGGAATCCTTGCCTTACAACCACATAGATTTGCCTCAGATGTTCAATTAAATCACACAACTGTTAAACAAAGTTGACTTCCCCATTGACTTTGCTTGCTGGAAGCTGCCTGGGAAGGTCTCAAGTGGTGGTTGCTCGAGCTAATGTGCAAGTTTTGTAAATAAGGCTAATTGCCAAGTGCCAGAGTTGCATTTATGTGGCCATGAGGATACTGGGATGGTTGAAAGTGCAAGGACCCCATCACAGGTCACTTTTTCCAATTCTGTGTTAACTTTGAACAGTCAGCAAACAAATGGTCACAAGTTTATTTAATTTGTTCAGTTTCTTCATCTCAGTGGATGACTTTGGGCAGCTTACAGTTCGAACCAATAAGTTACAGTTAAAAAATATAAAAATGAGGCAGACCCAGGAGAAGGTGGAGTGACAATGTCAACTTTGCAACATCATCAGATAGCAAGGCTGCCAGAAGTGCAAAAACCAGAACTTTGTATCTCCCTGGACACCTGAAGTAGTGAAAGAGGAAGTAAAGAATAAAAATGTTAAAAACATTTTCAAAAAATAAAAACAGTAACACCCATAAATAACCAGGAAATGGGGCCCTGGACATATTCAGTGCGCCTGGCTCTGGAACACAGCCAAGGTTTTTAGGGCCTTCTGAAAGGTTAAGAGGGGTTGGGGCCATTCTGATCTCTGATGGGAGGGGGTTCCATAAAGCAGGGGCCACTGCAGAAAAAACTCTCCTTCTGGGCCCTGCCAACTGACATTCTTTGGCTGACAGGATCTGCAGATGCTCATTCTGCTTGACTTGGTTGGAAAAAAAAAAGGCAATTCCTTAGTTCAGGAGCGAGGAACTATGGCGCTTTTATGACTTCTGGACTTCAACTCCCACAGTTCCTGAGCCAGCCAGCTGGGAGCTCTGGGAATTGAAGTCCACAGGGGACATGGTTTCCCATTTCTGCCTTAGGTACAGGTTGAGGGGCTACTTGTATCACAGCAATGCATGAATGTTTTCGGTGTGGTTTCTCCACTCTACTTGTCTGGATTATTTGTGCCTTAACGGGCTGCTAATAAAAATTGGGTAACCCTCTTCTACTCCTTAGTCATCCTTGCTTCTTAACGCTCCTTTTCCTTCCTATTGCAGAAAACCAAGTTTGTACAATTTTCAGACGTCTTCCCTTTGAAGGAGTTTGGCTATAAGCCGGAACCAGGATGGTACATGGAAATAGTGGGCTGGATGGAACTGATAGGAGGCTGCCTTTTAGCCTTCGGACCTCAACTGCTGCAGGAAATCAGCAATTTTGTGCTCACCGTGATCATGATAGGTAAGGATAGATCCTTTTAATGAATTTCTGACCGTGATCTGCTCCTGAATTATTTCTAAGATTATTTCGATTATGTTGGGTTGTGTCAAGTTAGGGTAGGTTGGTTGCAGAAGAGTAGCAGATTCCTGCCCCTTGAAGACCTTTGTACAAAAAGAGCTTTATCGTTTGTCAATCAGCTGTTGTTCCCCAACCATTTACTGGCCCCCATTTGAGCCTCAGCCACTTATTTATTTATTTATAAAATTTGTTGGCTGCCCATCTTACCACAGGATAACTCTGGATGGCTTACAATCTTTTACACACACACACACACACACACACACACACACACACACACATGTGAAGGTCTCCCTGTCACTTGTCTCTGATTCTAGGACACAATGCTCATCTCTATGTCTTGGTCGAGAGAGCTAGTGTCCGAAGACAATTTTCATGGTCATGCCAAAGGTGCACAGAAAACTGTTACTTTCCCACCAAAGTGGTGCCTATTAATCTACTCACATTTGCATGTTTTCAAACTGCTAGGTGAGCAGGAGTAAGGAACAGGAGCTTATCCCACTGCCCAGAGCTCAGATCTCAAACTGGGGCTATCGGCTCCAGCTGACAAGTTTAGCATCTTCAACCAATGAGCCATCATGCCCCTTTAAAATATATGTATATTAAATATATATGTATGTAGAGGAACCTGCCTCTTGTGGAGAGGCTTTCCTCTTTAAATTTTTCGGGAATGCTCATTAGTCAAGACCTCACCTGGAAAAACAACACGTTCCCTGGTGGTTAGTAAGGCTCAATAGAGACTTCATTTCCTTAGAGTTCTGCGGAAAAATCAGGTGGAACAATGGCTGATGACTTCTTTCTATCGGTCCACGACCGAAAGTATCCTTACATACTGTATAACAGTATAGTATGCTGGTTTAACAGCCATGGACAGGAAGGCACTACAGAGAGTGATTAATTCAGCACAAGAAACCATAGGTTGCCCTCTAAATACCACTGGATGACATCGCCAGGTCTGGCCGTTTCAGCAGAGTAAGGAAGATACTTAGGGATGATTCACACCCTGGCCTTCTGCCACACCTGGGCAGAAGACACAATGGCATAGCCCGCTGGACAAACTGGCTTAAAAACAGCTTCTACCCATGGGCTGTCAGACTCCTAAACACAATATAGCACCACAAACAGATTAATATGAGAAATTTCACTGGTGCCAGTGTAGTGTGTAATATGTATATGCCATGATGTAAGATTATACACCACAGTAATGTACATGTTACACAGAATATGACGTATATATGGAAATGTATGACTAGTTTTTCCCCCCTAACTACTTGTTATAAGGATTATTCTTTATATTATTCATGTTTTCTTGTATTCTTGAATGGACCGCACCAGTAGAGGCTAAACCAATTTCATTGTATACACGATGTACAATGACAATAAAGCCTTTGAATTGAATGTATATTAAATTAATGGCAACCACTAAAATCCAATTACAGATGGGGAAGAGGGAGGCAGGGTGGTGGTAGTGATGAAGTAGAATACCTTTATTATCATTGCATTCTACAAATACAATGAAATTTGAAAGCTACTCCAGCACAGTGCCCCAAACACCACATCACAATCATACTACAGAGTATTTAAAAATTAAAATAATAATAATAATAATTAAAAACCTAGTCTAAATCCTATCTAAAACATATAGTAAGTTAGATAGTTTAAAAATGCCACTATATACATAGGACTAAATCACATATGCATTGTTTGATTCAAGACAGTTATTGCCTTGGAAAAGAAACTGTTTCTTAGTCTATTAGTCCTCATTTTAAGATACCTATAGCGTCTCCCTGATGGTAACAGTTCGAAATATGAATGACCAGGATGAGAATGGTCTGTGGAGATTTTTAGTGCTCTAGAGAGGAGTCTGGTCTTCACAACCTCTTCCAAAGAAGAAAGAGAGCAACTGATGAAAGAGAGAGAGCACAGCAACTGTGCTGTGTTTATAACTCTCTGGAGCATCTTCTTATCCACTACAGAGCACCCAGCATACCACAAAAAGGATCTCTGTGTTATTTGATCAACCATCCTCCACTGTGCTATTCCCCCATTGGACTCCCAAGCTAATTGGAAAGGTCAGGAGAGTAAGGGGTCGACCTCACATTGTGAAGATAGCATGTTTCGGCAGGCAGGTGCAACTCTTCCTGGATCCTGCCGGTCAGAATAATCGGGCCAGTGGGGCTCACAGCATTCCTCCTCTGCCAGCACAGATGGGATAGGCCAATACCAGTGGGATGAGATGCTCCCTCAAGTAACTTACCTTGGATTTGAATTTGGCAATGCCGATTGCCAGAAATGTTTTTGCTTTTCTCAACAGATTTAATCTCACTTTGGGGGAACTAGCAAACTGTCTCTGTTTCTGCCTCTGTTAAAAAGATCTTTTGGATCGATTTCAGTTCCCCAACTTAGAGGTCTTTCCTGTCCAGCTGAAGCATGAATTCATTCGATCCTTCCATTGTTCTGTTTAACTGACTTTAATCTAGGGTTCACCAAAGTACTCAATATCAAACCCCAAGAATTGATGGGATTATCCAAGAGGCTAAGGATGGTTGGGGGGTCAATAGGTGGTTGATAAATGATGGAAGAATGGTTGAATGGCTCAACGGTTAAAAACACTGAGGTCGTTAAAAATACTGACAACCTGGGTTCAAGATCCGAGTGCTGCATAATGGGATGAGCTCCCGTTCCTTGCCCCAGCTCCTGCCCATCTAGCAATTTGAAAGGATGCAAATGTGAGTAGATTAATAAGTACCACTTGTGTGGGATGGTAACAGTGTTCTATGCACCACAGCATATAGCCATGCTGGCCAGATGACCATGGAAAATATCTTCAGACAATTCTGTCTCCCTTGGCCAAGAAATGGAGATTTGCACCCTAGAGTCCAACACAACTGGACAGGGAAACCTTTACTTTTTTAAATGATGGAAGGCCAATTAGGTTTGGTTAATCTTTTGAATGTCTGTAGAGCTCCACATCAGTTTTTAGACCTGAAGGTGAGGTGGCTAATGTGAGATAGTGTTACCCAATGTTAGATGGCTGGCCACTAGTGAGAATGGCCTTGAGCTGGTCCTCCTCCTCCTCGTCCCCCCCACTTAGTAATGTTTATTAAATTATTTTCATATAATGTTTGGAAGCTGATGAACAACGTGAAACTTCATCAAGAAGTTGATGCGTTGAAGTGTCGAGGGACGCCTGCTTCAATTGGACTGGATCTCTATCACGTTTCTGATTTCTGTAGATAAAGCTGTATTTATTTTCCTCGTGTTTTGCACCTTGACCGGCAGCTTATTTATACATTAACAGAATAAACACGTAAAGAGAATGGAAACCAGTCCAGCTTGGGTAATAGTCCAGCAGTTGGTAGCCTTTGATTGCAGTTTGGTTTTAGAATTCTGCCCCTCTTTTCTTTGTGTGTGATACTGCAGGTGCCATCTACACCCTCCTGGTTTTGAAAGAGCCTTTTGCCATGTGCTTACCAGCTACTGTCTCCTTGGGCCTTTTGCTCCTCCTCAACATCCGTGGAAGAGGGAAGTGTGTGAAGTCAAAATCCGAATGAGGCAAGGAGGAGATCTGAAGAGATGGGAAGGATCCAAAAATGAAGTTTTTAGAAGAACAGACAACTCCCCCCGACTAATCAGATCATGCGGACTTTACAGTGTGTAATCCAGAAAGGGGGTTAGATTTTAACGGCCATGGCCTATTTTGGGTCCTGTCTTAACTGCCCATTTTGCCAGTTTTCTATCCCTCTTTAGACCTGTTTGGAGATCTTGTCTTCTCTGCAAAACCAGTTGCTCTCTCTTCAGTCAGTGGATCCTTCTTGTGTCCAGGCAAGGAGATAACATGGATCAGAAAAAAATACTACATTACAAAGGGCCCGGAATGAGGGTTGTGTGGGATTGTGGTTGGGCACCAAAGAATAACGTTGAGGGTAAAAGAGACCTCAGAATTCTGCAGAATGATATAATCAAAGGGCTCAGATAGATCTTGCATCAGTTGCATATTGTACTGCTTCATTTCTGGATTTTATTAACTTTCCTATCAACCCATCTTGGCCTGATCTTAATTAGGACTTATGTTTGTTGGTTGAGGAACTCTAGGTTAATCACTATTCCTCATCCCTTTCTCAAAAATTAAATTTAATTCTATTTACCCACTTTAAAAAAAAACCATTTGCATGAATCAAAGGTACTTTTTATCATCCCAATGTTGTTACTTGATCGTGAATTTGGTGAAATAAAAGTAAAGAGGATGAATAGATTTCTTCTAATAAGCATGGTGTGATCTTGAGCCATTGCCATTTATAAGAAATAATCTGGGATTGAAATGAGATAGGTAACAAAAACCACTGGATTCTACGCAATACACCTTTATGATAATTTGTAAAAATCAATAGATTCAATTGTTGTGTCCATATTTGGGAGACTGAAGGTTGATTGGGGGCTTTTGACTTTTTTTTTTTTAAAAAAAACTTTTTAAACCAAGTGGGGGTGGTTCAGTGCTTTGGATTCAAAGCTGAAAAGATGCTCCAGAGCAGAGTTTCTCAACCTTGACAACTTTTAAGATGTGTGGACTTCAATTCCCAGAACAGGCAGCAATGCTGGCTTGCGAATTCTGGGAATTGAAACCCACACTTCTTAAATCTTGATCTGATCTTATAAAAGTTAAACACAATACATAAACACTAATCTGCATACTTTGCAAAAGAGACCATCAACTAGCCAAAAGGGATTGAAAAGACCTCACCAGAAATCAGCACCCAGATGAGCATAGATTAACTCCAAAATTAACATCAGACCAACAATTAAGTAAACACCCCAATCAAGAAACCACCAATAGCAATAGCACTTAGACTAATATATCGCTTCAGTGTTTTACAGCCCTCTATAAGTGGTTTACTTAGCAAATTGCCCCCAACAATCTGGTTCCTCATTTTACCAACCTTGGAAGGATAGAAGGCTGAGTCAACCTTGAGCTGGTCAGGATCAAACTGCTGACAACTGGCAGTCAGCAGAAGTAGCCTGCAGTACTGCATTCTAACAACTGCACCACCATGGCTCATATGCCAAACAAGCCAACAGCAAACAGCCCGACCCAAGAACCTCTAAGATCACCCCCACCAACACTGATAGGGCAGTTTAGAATATAAACTGACAGCAAACCCCATTCCTTAGTACCGGTAGCACTGATGATGTTACCTAGTTTGGGGTAATGAAATGTCTGCAAGGTTGAGCAACACAGCTCCAGAGCGTGCAAGCATTCACAAAATCACTGCCTGCAACTCCTGAAAACTGAGGATTCTCACTTGGTTTCAGAAGGGATCTCATAGCTTTTAATAGTATGATCATGTGATCATGCCCAATCATTTCCCCAAAAGAAACAAGCTTTTTGAAAGGAATGTACTAGCAGTGCGTATGTGGGACAGTTGCCGCTGAGCTTCTTGTTGCTGATTCTGTTTTAAGGAAAGTGGAGTAAAGATATCTTTACTTGCCTGCATGTTTATTGAAATTCATAGAGAACTTGGTAGTGGAGGGACTTCATCTTGAAAGAGCATAGAAGACTAGGGACTTTGGAAGGGACTTTGCTCAAGCAGTAGACCCCGTTCTGTTGGGACAATCCATTGGGACAACAATGGCTGTCCAATCTCTTCTCAAAAATCTCCAGTGATGGAGGATCCACAACTTCCAGTGGTAACTGATTAACTGTTCTCACAGTCAGGAAATTTCTCCTTAGTCCTAGGTCGGAGCTCTATTTAATGATCTTCAACCTGTTACTTCTTGTCCTGTCCTCAGGTGCTTGGAGAATAGGTTGATCTGCTCTTCTGCGTGACAGCCTCTCAAGTACTGGAAGACTGATATCATGCCATCCCTGGTCCTTCTTCTCTTCGTTAGGCTAGACATTCCTATTCCCTGGAAAAACTTCTGCCTGGTTGGAACAGAGATTTGACAGTGTTTTTCTTATACAGCTCCAGAATGGTTGATTAGTCATTGGCTGATTTTATTCACAGTTTGTACTTCTGGAACTAATATATACAAATCTGAATGTAACTTTGGGTGCTTCAGATTTTGCAACGCTGGTCCTCTATCAAATGATGCATACCAAAATATGTCTTGTAAGGGAAATTGCATATAAAAGGGAAATGATAGAAAGATGATGCCAAAAACGTATCTTGCTGAAAATTGCATACAAAAAGGCATGCAGTAGGGAAAATATTTGGAAAACATTCATCTGTTAGGAAGAAGTGAAAAGTACAACATTTTCTATGCCTATGAAAATGATTCAGTTATTTCATGCACATTTTAGTGAAATCAAAATGATGCCAAAAATAGAATTGGTGCTTTAAAATGGTCAGAAATGTATTTCTTCGTTTCTCACAAGAATTCATTATTTCCATAACAATTTGCATATCGTTTCATTCACCTTGGTTAATTTGCCAGCCAAAAGTTACATTCAAGCAAATGTTTTAATATTGTTCCTGCAAACACTTTTTTTAATGCTGGATTTACTATTTGGCTCATGTATGCCTTATTTTTTTCTGATGCTGGTTTTAACCTCTCAATGATTTGTAGGGATTGTGTCAACACATGCTTAATTTGTTGATGCATTTTGATCCTGTTTTTCATTGTCACTGGGTTTTTTTTTTATTTTTATGGAGGGGAATGTTAGAGAAAAATCGTGGTAGACTCTTTAAAATAAAATTTAAAAATAAAACAGTTGTCCCTGAGAATGAATGAAATTTGTAGTGGACTCTTGACTAAGCTTATGCCCAACTGGAGACGTATCTCTAGACGGCATGGGTGTAGCCACTAAACTAAGTTTTAATGTGAGAATTATTATATGTGTGGTAGTTGTACTCTCACAACACACTTAACCAGTCTTAGCAGTTACATTTTCACATACTAAGCTTGCTTAGGCTTGATTCTTTAGTGTGTTTAAGGTCTTGTGTTAACCCAGTGGTGCAGTGGTGAGAATGCTGTGCTGCTTCTGCTGCCTGCAATTTGGCAGTTCAAATCCCACCAGGCTCAAGGTTGACTCATCCTTCCATCCTTCCGAGGTGCGTAAAATGACCCAGATTGTTGGGGGCAATAGGCTGACTCCAAACTGCCTAGAGAAGGCTGTAAAGCACTGTGAAGTGGTATATAAGTCTAAGTGCTATTGCTATTTGTTCAGTTGAACACACTGAAAAATCAGCTTCCGGTGGAAAGTGATCCTTCTCTAAATATAGAGAGAATGCATTTAACCCAAGAGTTCTCAAATCTGTTTGGCTGAAAGGCTAACCCTTATTTAAGACTGCCTCTTAACTGACCAGGTTCTGGGGTGGTTGAAGGAACCAGACAAATTCAGAAGTTGGAGAGGCTGCCACAAAGAGGAGGGGGTCAACTTATTCTCCAAAGCAGGGGTTGCCAACTTTTTGGACCTTAGGGACCACCAAACTCATAATTTTAAATCCTGCAGACCACTAATATGAATTTTGACTGACATTATCCCAGGGTCTAAGTGATACAGTCGTTAAGTGAGTTGCACCTCATTTTACGCCTTTTTTTTTTTTTTTTGCTGTGGTCGTTGAATGAATCTGGGTTCCCACACTGATTTACTCGTCAGAAGCCTCCTGGGACGGCTAGAAATGGCAATCCTGTGACCTTGGGAGCCAATCGTCGTAAATATGCTGACTGCAGAGTGCTGGAAATGGATCACATGACCTATATTGTGACTGTCATAACTGCAAGGACTTTGTGAGTCACTTTTCCCCAGCTCTGTGAAAACTGAACAGTTGTTAAAAGGAATGATTGTAAGTCGAGGACCAGCAGTAACAGCATCTTAGGGACAAAGTGATGTGAAAATTGTTACTGAAACAAAAAATGTGAAAACGTGTTAGTGTCATAATATTAACATATTATGATTTTAATAACGGGGTTGAAGATTTGTTTCGCGTGATGCCTTTGAGCAATATTGTTACCAAAATGGTGAAAGGACGGGTTTGTCTTCCTTTGAGACTCTTCTGCTCAGTTTATTCAACATGTTAAGCCATAAAAGTGTTTGCTTTGTGTTTGGTGAATCCCCCGATTGGGGTTTACGCAATAAATATGGATGTGTAACCCATCTCATTTGCACGCACTATTCAACCTCATGGAACATGCCCCAAGCCCATTTAGCAGGAGGTAATCTCTCTTATTTGCATAACTTCTTTAGATCCTCTCTTGTTAACCCTGATGGTCTGATTCATATAACAGGCCGGCTTTGCACAACGTGTTATCCAGAACCATCTATAATCCTATTGTGTTTTTTTAACCTAATCTAGGATGTTGTGCAAACCAGAGCCAGGAGATGCATTTGTAGGTTTATTGGGGGGCGGGCAGAGGGAAAAGAGTCAAGGGCTAATTTTCTGTGTCGTTTTCTGCACCACTCCTCTGCCTCCGATGGTGAGTGACATGCAGAAAAATTCTTCAAATGCCTGGCGGATTAATCTTGAGTTGATCCCCCTTCCCTCTTTTGTCCCACACCCTCCTTGCATATCGCAGCATGCCCCACGAAAGGCATTTTTTTCATCGGCTGTGGCCCAGGCTTCAAGGTTTCTTTTGATGCTACGCCTCTGTGAAAGCTCTTAAATCCGATCTCCCCCTCTCTGTCTCCTTCCTGCCCACTTCAGCAGCTGTTGCGCTTGGGAAGCTGAGCTTCCTAAGGGCTGCGTTGACGCTCCTTTGAGGATTTCCTTTGTTGCGGAGTCCAACTGCGCTCTGCCACCCATCTTCATGGCCATTCCCTGTTCTGGTAGCTGGTCTCTCTGTTCCTGGTTTGGCTTCTGTTTTCAGGTGCTCAGTCCTGCTTTTCTTCCAAGGCAAAAGGTGAGAAAGCCAAATAGGTTGTACGCAGCTCGAGGGTGTCTCTTGCTGAGACAAGGGGAAAAGAGTTCCTTGAAAATCTGGTACAGATAAGCATGGTTTGAACCCGAATGAGATATAAGCAACCTCCTGGGGACACGACAGCAAAAGAAGTTGGAGCAAATGGGAAAGGATGTTTGGGAGCCTCGGTGGCCGATCTGAGTGCAGGCAAGGCTGGGATGTTATGAGCATTTGGGGAGCTGTAATTCCAACCTATTTGGAGGGCACTGTGCTAGATTAGGGAAAGCTCAGTGGTGGGATTCAAAGGTTTTTACTACTGGTTCTGGGGGTGTGGCTTGGTGGGTGTGAAAGCTGATGTACATATGATTCCTTGGTTCTGAGCTTTCGGGGGCGGGGGTCCTTGTCAACCTTTTAAGATGGATCAGAATATGAAACCAAAATTATGCATGCTAATGCTGTAGTATTTTTATTATAGGTTTATAGGAACAGAAGCTTGCAAGTCTGAATATGTTTCCCTTCCCTCCCTTTGTCTTCAAGAGGGAGGGTTTTGTCAGATTACAAGTCTTGGATTTTATTTATCTGATGGTTGGCTTGGTTATGGTTCTTCTTTCTGTTTATCATAGTTAACCTTATGTACATTATAGCCCTTGATCAAGTTTTTCTATGATTCTATCCTTGCCTGCCTATCCATCCATCCATCCATCCATCCACCCACTCACCCATGTGCCATAGGAGAGAGAAATATCTGCCATACCTAGGATTGAAGTGGGAAGCGAACATCCTCACCCCGGGCCACCATGCCACGGGGTATATGTATGTATATGTGTATATTTCAGAACAGAACAGAATACAACTACATAGAGTGCATATGCTAACATGCCACATCATCAGAGAAAGACTGGAATACAATACACTTTGCTGAAATTTTCAACGTACTGCATGTTGCTTTCCCTTGTTTTCC